ATTCAGGGAGGAACACAATAAGCTTGTCTGATTCTGCTTGATTGAGACGATTGATGACGTTACGACTCCCACACCACAATATTGACTACTACGAGATCACATCTCCACCCCCACAAGGGGCCGCCCCACAGCACATTGAACATCTCCCGATGATTCTAGTACTATCATCAGGAGATGTTCCTATACACGGCAGGGATGTGCTGTGAGGCGTTGTGGGGCGGAGATATGAACTCGACTACTACAGCTATCGTTATTGTTCAAAACTCTAAATTTCATTACATCGTTAATGAGCCGACAAGAGGGAATTGATGGAAAAGTAAATAGAGAGCACACAACAGTCCACAAAGACCACAGACTACACTTATTTTGCCTTGGTATTATCTAACTATTTCAACACTACTGGACCACCAACATAACACAATTTCTTTTCATTACTTTCTAGTTTCTAAAACAAATTAACACAGTAATTGTTGCAGGAAGTTGAACTTTATAAAAATGAAAGCTATTATAACCCTTTCATTATATGGTACAGAAAAGAAAATTTTTCCATTTAAACTCAATAGCTTGGCCAATAAACAATGCTTAAAGCAGCTAACTAAATCAGATTCATAATTACAAGTTGGGTCCGAAATCCCCAGACCTTAGACGACTGAAGGCCCACCCAGTGCAACATAATTATATATGGTCAAGACTCAAGACTCGAGAATATATGTACAGCATAAGTGTAGACTCTTCGTTTGGTCCAGAGACCATGCAAGTTCAGGTTGTTGGTTGGTCCTTCGTCCAAAATTTGCGCCCTAGCTTCTGACCTGTTTTTTTGCTCTTTTAATTCGATACAAGTAATCCATGTATGTACAGCATACTGCATACAGGCACATCTAAGAGCCCAGATTTCTTACTCACTTTTCCTACCCACTTTCTACCTGTCGTGAATTACAGTCACACAATTGCAGCCACACATCATAATAAAGATGTATGGCTCCAATTCACGGTGGGTAGGAAAAGTGAGTAAGAAATCCTGAGTGCACATCTAATTAATGTGCAATTTAGTTGGTGGTGTTATATAGGTCTGATGACTAGGGGTGGATTCAAGCCGAGCTGAGTCGAATAGTACTAGGTTGGAGTTCGAGCTTGAGCTCTGTTCAAGCCAGAACCTTGAGCTCGAGCTCGATTTTGAGAAAAAATATTTTATAAAAATAAAAAAATATATATATAAATACTTTTTATTTGATATTTAAAAATTAAGAATCATAATAATTAATAATTATAATATTTTTATTATATATTATTTTTTATAATTTTATTATATATATATATATATATATTCGATCCGGCTCGCGAGCCTTACAAGCTCGTTTAATAATCTAGCCAATGAATTGGGCTCGAGCTTGAGCTCAAGCTCGATTGAAACCAAGCCGAGCTAAGCTTTTCACAAGCCGACCTCAAGCAGCTCATGAAAATCTCGACTCATTTCCACCCCTATTGATGGAATCTGGTCTTAACAATCGATCCATTGCAATTTAAAAAAAAAAAATAAGAAAAAAGTACTTAAAAAAATGGCTAGAACTGTTTTTCAGGTCAAACAAGTCAATGATTTGACCACCAGGGTTAGTGGGTTGTTGACCAAATCAACAGTTTTTTATAAAATTCCGGCTCAGGGTGAAACAGAACCGATTGACTGGAAAATTTTAAGGCCAAACAATCCAACCATCTGGATGAATGACGGTTTGAAAACAATAGCCCAAAGGGACCATGCGGTATTTTGGATTCGGATGTTGTGCGTGCCAACCTCCAACTGGGCCCAAATTTTACCAGTAGCTTATTTAGAAAGCAAGCTTCCACATGAACAATCCTCATCTCCAACGTGAGTGCAAATGCAAAATTGCATTTACATCTGCGAAACCACTGGCTATTGTTCATGTCCATATCCGAAATATTATCTCACCAGTCCTGGGCTCTAACCAGAGAGACTCCAAAGGAGGAGTGAGGATGAGATCCATATCCTACTTAACTACCCAATAGCAACCCAGATTTGGAGGATAATTGAAAGCCAAGTCCCCACCCTAGTTAGAGCCCAGGACTGGTGAGATGAAACATGTAAACACAAGTTAGAACAAGTGGTTGATTTTTTTTTTTTTTTTTGTTTCTGTTTTCTGGGAGAAAAGCTTCATCCATTATGGCATCTATGGAAACAAAGAAATGATAAGATCTTTGATGGAAGGAGTGTTGGGCCCCTAGACCTAGAGTTAATAAAGCACTAAAAATGTAAGGAATAAATTGAAGTCTAAAAAGTGATGGTTTTATCAAATTAAGGATAAGGAAAAGAAATCTATTCAAGTCAAATGGAACCCCCTCCCCCCATGAAATCAAATAAAAGATGCCTTTGGATGCATCGCGAGAAGCCACCTGCGGCAACTTTAGTATTCAAAATGAGAGGAGTTCTAGAAGTTCACAGGTTAATTGATTAGTTAAATCCAAAGAAGTTCGTCACCGAAGGAGACTCAAGAATAATTATTGAAGCTCTAAAACGAACAAGCCAAACTACGTAGAGATGCCAGGTCAACAGGTAGATGCTAGAAGAATGCAACAACATAGTGGCTGGGCTGAGATACGACATCGTCTACAATAATAGTCATCGTGAAGGAAATCAAGCGCCGGACTGATTGCACGGCTCCTCGTCAAAGCGTTTGGGATTTGTTATGTGTATTAGGAGAATTTACCCCTAAAATCTAATTGTTAAGAGAGAGGGAACCAAGCATATATATATATATATATATATACCCCATAACAGTATCCCATATTATAAATGGATCGCAACATTCCACCACGCTCCACAGTACTCCAGCATGGTTTTGCACTAGTTCACCTAGTCTCGATCGAATATTACAATACCGACATCATCATCTACGCCACACGATTACAACTGGAAGGCATAATGTAGGCTCTGATACCATTTATTATATGCCTTAGAAGAATTCACCCCTAAAAATTAGCTACTAGAGGGAAGGAACCCAAACACATATATACCCTACAACAGCATCCCATACTACTGATATATACCTCACATTAGCATCCYATACTACTAACATGGGACAAATGAATTGTAAAAAGATTATACTTGTAATTCAATGTGAGGTGAGTCCGAACTAATTAAATCGTATATTGGTTAATTGAATTTCTAGTTTATTTACAATTATGAGCTGGTTAAATTGTTCACATATGACTTRGGTAATAATAAGTCATTCATATCTAATAGCTAGTATTGAGTAATGACACAAGAGTAAATTAATGTTGCATAAACTTACAATATAAATTCATTTGTAGCAGCAGCTGTTCCATTAATATATAATTAATTGGTATACTTGGCATGGTTCAGTAGCTATCTGATCGATGATGAGTAATGTGAACTTGAGTAAATGAATTTATTGTGTCTCAACATGCGATAGAAGGTTTGTACTTAATACGTAATTTGTAGTAAGCTAATGAGAATTGATTAAAGTGTTGTGACATGTCATCAGTTTCAGATTAATTAGTTGTAATAATAATTTAAAGAAAATAATTTACAATTAATAAGAAATAAGATGTTATGACATCACTAAACGAGAAAGCAATAGGCCAAATATGTGGCAGACGAATCATGCAAATGCATGAGTACGATATGATCAGTATTCAGTACCATTCATTATATTCCTTCACATTGACTGGGCCATCTACTTACTTTACCTTATTCGATTGGCACAGTAGTGTTTGGTTGTTCAGTGTACTGGTTTAGTCTAGTTTTACTTTTCTTCTTTGGGTTCTTTTCTTTATTTTGAGAGGTGAGAAAGTTGGATGTGATAAAATTGATTTTTTTAATAACGACTTTTGTTGTTTAGTTGGAAAATAAAAGAAGATGAATAACTGCGTTTAAGAACACTTACCAAGACAAATGCACTTATCTTAACAAATAACTTATTGAAAAAGGAACATGACCTTAAAATTTTGTTTGTGTGTAAAGGTTGTGCTCTATTGTGTGTGGTCATGCATAGAGTTTAGATTATTAGGGTCTGTTTGGGTTGTAGTCAGAATCAAAATCCTTTGGAATCAGAATCGGAATGACCTATTCCCATAGTCTGTTTAGTTCAAACAATAATGAGAATGAAAATTGAAATCAGCAATAATGAGATTCTATGCCCATTGGAATGGGAATTTCCATTCCCTTAAATGGGAATACCATTCCAGTAGGAATAAGAATGGGATTCCAATTCCATCCAACCAAACGGTTGAATCCATTCTGATTCCGATTCCAAATCCCTATTCTCGTGAATCAACCTTACTTTTTCAATCTTATACATATGGGAGCATGGCAGCAGTATCCATTCAAATTCAATACGTGGTCGGTGGTCTAAAATTGGCAATGTTACCATGCAAACTAATTAAGAATAATGTGATGGAGGCCATCTACAAGACTACATCTAGCCCATCCCACTTGAGTTAAACATGACAACTCCAGCCTCCTCACTTTTTTTTCTAGAATAGATATTGATAGATAGACTCTTAGACATGTAATTAAATGTGGAATAAATTGACCAGCCTTAGAAACACCAAATAAATAATATGAACTATTACAACATGATCGGATGATTTATTTTTAAAGGCCATAACTAGAGGTCATGAGCTACACATGTTGTTGCTTGATTAATTTTTTGCAGAACACAAGCCCAACTATCCAAGGATATATTCTTCTCTATTATCAAAACATAGATACATATTCAATTAAGGGCATGTTCATTTCCTCTTAACTCTTATCTCTTAAGAGAAATCTTTTAACTTTAAAAGAAAAATGATTGTTCGTTTCCTCTTATCTTTTATCCATTAAAGTGCAATCATACAATTTTTTGTTTTCCAATGATACCAAAAAAAAAACCAAGCAAAAACTCTCATATATGGGGTCAAAATGGATATTTGATAATTTTTAGAATTCAAAATTCAGAATTCAAAACAATATTTTCTACATTCAAAATTAAGAAAAAATAAAAATTCACCGATACCAATATACCTCTTAATATACTTATTACACTCTTAAATACCAAACTTCAAATCAAACAAACATGCCCTAAATTAATTGACCTCGTGTATCGCTAGGGCTCCAAAAAAAACTATATATGATACAAGAAATGAACAACTAATGCATATTTAACTGCATAAACAAATCGCATGAAGATGAAAGAACAAATTATTACTTGGTCCACATTGCTCCGAACCTGCTTTCTATATATTATCATGATCAGATGACGACTTCAGTGAACACTCTCGTGTTCCCTTTCATATTTGCAGGTAACAAATATCTATGAAGATCATCAGAAATTCACTTACTTGATTAGTTGTGTGAGTGTGACCACTCATGAATTATTCCTGTAAAATCCAAACTTAAAAACGTCATTCCATACCATCAAATCAAGTTGGTATTTATGAGCATAAGTACATTTGTACGTACCTGCTCTATGTATCCGATACGCCCATTTCCATCTCTTAAGTCTTTATCTTATCCACACCGTGATCCATCGATCGCTGGCTTGCCATGAGTCCTCATTAGATGCATGCACCGTTCCATAAAATTGGGGAATGGGGGACCCATATATATACACCTACCGACCGGCCGGTACCGGAATCACCGTCCGGATCAACGGCGATTCAAAAACATTAGTTTTAAAGAAAATTGAATAATATGGTTTGGTTTGATAGCTAGACGATTACGGCAGATCTAGAAGAAGAATAAACTGCAAGTTTGAAATACTATATATCAACGATACCATATATATAGAAATAAAAATAAGCATACATCATTCTTCTCTAAGGCCTGAATTAATTCTAATCTTCATAATATCAAAGAAGACATATATAATGTATAATTAGAAGTTGGGAACGAAGAAACAAAGTCACCTGAAAATTGTGGGCCTGTATTTAATTAATTACTGGGTCTGCAATCTGCATGACTCCCCTGATGCCAACTAGGAAGAGTGTCAAACACTATTGACACATTCTCCTTAGATGGCACTCAGGGAGCCAGGCAGATCAATTGCACCACTAGTACTACACTTTTTCAGATAGAGATGTTGGCATGAAACCTGCAAATTAAGTGCAACAACACTTCTTCAGAAGAGAATTCATTATTATCACTGCACTAATTATCCTATTTTCAAGTTAATAACAATACTTATCAATGAATTCATAATGTTATTATAAGATGCTAATGAGTGATACCACAGGATACCTTGTGGCTAGCTAGCTAATAGTTAGCTCAAGGTCTATAAAGTTGTTAATTATGTTTATCTTCTTCACAAACAAATTACAGCAGCTAGCCAGAGTAGATCGAGTTACAGGTAGGAAATTAAAGAGATGAAGTAGTGAAACTTACTGGTGACAGAGGGAAAGGTGCACAACTCCAAGTCCAAGAGCAAGCATAATCGATTCTATCTATCTTATAATTAAGCTCCGACTGTTTCATCTCCCTTAACTTTCTGCCTCTTAATTTCTCTCTCTGCCCCTCCCAAAAAAAAAAAAAAAAAAATTAAGAGTTGCAACAGCTGCCTCACATTCCGAGCTTTCAATAACCCCAGCAATCTCTTTAATGACCTCCGATTCCAACTGAGAAACAGAATATATTTATATATATAATATCTATGAAGAGTTGTTAAAGGGAGGAAAGAGATCCAGAGGAGCTGCTGCTGGACAGTCGACGGCCAAAACAAAGAGAAAATACATGTACAGATGTAAGCAGTGGTAAAAGTCAGGTCCATGATAAGGCAACGCGGCAGCAAAAGCTTCATCTTCACGGTTCACAGTTCACAGTTTACAGATCACAGATCACAGACGGCTCCACAGATACAGCCAAAAGCAACCTGGGTTTTGCAGCTGGCAGACCAGCTTGAGCTTGGTTGGATTATTCTCCTCATTGAAAACTCCGTGAACCCAACTCTCTTACTTCATTCCGATGATGAGATGAGTAGAACCCTTTTCATTTTCTTTAATGTTTATCTCTTAATTATCTTATCTTTCCAATTTATATATGAATATTCTGGGTGCAGTGTGCATCTTTAATTTTCCTTAATTTACCCTACACGTAACACGTCCACTCAGTAACACAAGAGAAAATTTTGTCATTCACACTGAATGCAGAAAGTGCAGGAGGAAAAAGGGGGTCATCCCGGAGTCATGATTCTCTATTAGCTAGCGGCCACTTGGGAATCTATGATATCATACATCGCGATTATAATATCTTTTTAAAGCAAGAATCCAATCCGTGTTTACAGGGCTGGTGGCTAAGATAAACTGGAGGTGATTTTGCATTTAATTTGCTGTAATTGGCGCTTCTTATGGATTAATTGTTTACCCTTATGCATTACTTAGGATGTCAATTGGATTGCATTTGGTCCAATCCGATCCAGTCCAATATGTGTCTATTATAAATGGAACAGGTCCAATCTAATCTAATGAATGTTTTAGACCAATTTAAATGGGTCCAACTCAATGTCTGGACCATTCAATTTGTTTAATTTCATTTTGATTTAAATTGGTTTCAATCTAAACCCGATCTATTGACACATATATTAATTTGTATCTTATATCAATGGACCACACATTGGCTTAATCCAATCCAATCCAATATAAATTTRTTATGGACAGACCAGGTCCAATCCAATCTAATAAATATTTTGGACTGGATTGGTCCAATCTAATATATCTTGTTGGTTCATCCAATCCGTCCAAACTGATTTTGGACTGGACAGGATCCAATTCAATTCAAAGCCGGTCCATTGACACCGATAGCATCACTTATTTTTGTACCATTGGCATTGGTCTTCATCTATTGATTAATTAAACCTGAAATAATTAATATCATATGAAAATAAATTACTTCTAAATTAATTTAGGTGAATGTAGCCTCAATTTCTTTTTTCTTTTAATTTCATCTTTCTCTAGGATCACTACTTGTGCCCATTACGATGTTTTCCTACCTTTCACAGAGGTAAAAATATTTTTTTTTTCATTTTTATCTTTCTTATTTATCCATTTGGGTATCAGACAATGTGACTAGAAAATCAAGTTTCAACCATAAATATAATATAAAGACAGAACATTAATTCTTTTTAATTTTTTTCCTCCTGTTTGTTTTACATTTGAATTTTAGACTGTTTTTGGGTTGGTAGAAAATAAGATATATAGAAACAGAAAGCTTAGGAAAGTACTACAAAATGAGATCTTATTAAAAGATAAGGATAATAAAGAGATCTTACACTTAGCCTTTTTTTAATTGAAGGGGATATGGGTTACTCTGAACCACTTTAATTATTTTGCCACCATAGGCAAGCTTTTGGGGCCCTACTTAGTGTTTGAAGAATGAATAACAAGAAGAAGAAGAATCCTATATTATCTGTTCTTTTATTCTTTGATCTAATTTTTCTAGGGGCATTACGATAAGCTTTTATTATTAATTAATTAACAACCGGTTTTTCTTTTATCTTTTAATTAATAATACCAAAAGAACCCAAATCTATGTTAGCACATTTTGAACAGAAAACGTACATACGGGTCCTCTCAACATAAAACTATTGACTAAATTAAGACATATCTAGCTAAATTAATATTAATATATATATTAGTGTAAACAATGCTTTAAAAACCAATTCAGAGGCCGAACCGTTTTGCCTCCGGTCACAGGTTCGATATATACATATGTATATATGTGTATGTATAATCAATAAATAATGTATAAATATGTTTTAGATATGTTATATGTATTTTTATATTTAATTTATATTTTTAACTCAATTTTTAATTTTTTATTTATAAAAAATATTAAAAATTGCAATTTAAAACTAAAGAAGGGTTTTTTTTGTGAAAATAGCGGACCAACGCATAAATCTCGAAAAGTTACCCAATCGGACATCGGAGTGCAAAGTTATGGCATCCGAAAGCTTGCATACATTGAGTGTGCAACCCACGACCCAACGACCGGATCAAATGGGTCTTCACTGAACTGGACCTGAAATCTTGGTCAAGTGACAATTCAAACAGTTCAACCGGCCAGGTCAACCGCGGATTGAAAACACTGAGTGTAAATGTCACTTGTTACTTTGATGAATTGCCTAGAAACTCTAAATTCCTTTCAGAACTTACTTTCTAAAAGGATATTTAATTTCCTTAATAGCAAATTAAGCTTCATGTACAACATATATTTTACTTCAGTATCTATAGAAAAAAAAACAAAAACTTTCCCTCAACTTTTTGTTTCTCCCTTATTTTCTATTAAACCAAACAGCGTAATGATTTATTAGGAAATTATACTTAAGATCAAATGAAGCATGGAATAACCATGTTAAACCATGGGCACAACCCAGTTATTCAATGGTACTTAATACCATTTTCAAAAAATAAAAAATGGTACATAATACAAGTGTGAGAACGATCAATGGCCTATTTAATTAAGCTTAATTGGTCATAGACTCATGGTATCAAGTATCTTCATAGTTACTATGCTAGCCCACGCCGAGGCCGAGCCAAACTTGATCATCAAAGCAGTGTAACTTGTAAGTTAATTGTGACAGTTCCCATGCATTAATTTGATAAACCATCTTCATCTTCAATTCTCAATTTAGTAGGCCCCGTCCACCAAAGTTAGTAGCTTTTTAGCCTTTTACAAATTACAACGTCACAACTTGACGTCTGGATCATTTATCAATCTATATATGTTAATTTTGTTAACTATATATATAAATTAAGCAGCTCCACTTCAGCCAGAGAACAGAGGTTCCAACACATGCAGAAACTGGTAAACCAAGTGGACCTCTTATCTTTTCATCATATGTGCACTTTGAACTTGAATGCAGTCCTCTCACAAGACTGTGTTTACACTGTTCTCACAGCCACTTGTGTCATATATTGAAAATATCTCTATCATACTTGTATGATTTTAGTCCTAAGAAGATATTCTCAATGTATAGCTGCAAATGGTCGCGAGGACGGTGAGAATGGAATCTGATTTCATGCACTTTCCCGCTGTTGACCGGGTGAGAGGGTTGGTTGGTTTTATGACTTTTTGATGCCTGGTGGGTTTTCAGTTTGTTTTTGCAAGTCTGCTACCGCTACATCTTTTTTGTTTATACTTTATAGAATGAATGAGTGGCACTTCATTCCAATTAAAGTATAAAACCATTTTGCTTAAATGCATATCATCATATTGTTAACTATTTCGTCAATTACGAAATCTAGTGTCATTTGCATGGTTTTCAAAACCAGATCGGACCGGATGGTCGGCCTGGAAAATTTGGGAATTGGTCATTTGATCGTTTTAGCTTTTCCTGAAAATTGAATTTTCTCTCAAAATTATTGATTTTGGTCAGTGAACACTGAACCGGGTAATTAATCATTTGACCGTTCGAATGATTTAATTATTTTTTTTTTCTGTCAAAATGAGCCAAGCGTTTGGTTTCAACGATCGGACCGTTCAACCCTATAACCGGACCCCTGACCGATTTGGTCACCGGGTCGGTTTTAAAAACCATGGTCATTTGAAAATATGTCGTCGCATGTGTATGAGGTAGGCTTTGCAATCGTAGGACTCGTATTAAATTTACCATGAAACTCAGAAAACAAATGATGGAGATTGTTGTGGAGACATAACCTTTCTGTCTTGCGTGTAAAAGAAGAAAAGGATCTGTCCATCACTTACAAAGAAATGGCAGTGAAGCTTGACGTCATCTCTCTCTCTATCTGAAAGGACAATCATGTGGTTGCTCGTGAGTTTTATTTGGGTTTTGGGCTTGCAGCTGTTGCTGCTTACCAGCTAGTTTGGAAGTAGGGGGGGTCCAATCTGATTTAGTTCAACGTAAGTCTATTACAAATGAACGAGATTCAATTCAATCATGAATATTTTAGACCATTTTGGATCGATTCAATTCAATGTCTAGAATCTGTTTAAATTCGTTTTAAACAACCCAATCCAATATAAATTTACTAAGGACAGATCAGGTCCAATCCAATCTAATAAATAATTTGGATCAGATTGGTCCAATCCAATGTCTTGTTGGTCCATCCAATCCGTTCAAATTGATTTTGGACCGGATGAAAACCAGTCCAAAGCCGGCCCATTGACACCCTTAACCGTATCCCTGGCCGTGTGGCAGACTGCCCGGCCGTACTAAACCTTGATATGAATGTTAATATGCAATCCTTTTTATAAGTGTTGATATAAATAAAATGCTAAGCTATCTTTTCGAGTAAAATGGGGCCTGAAATTTTTGAGAAGCGGAGAAAAAGTGTCTTATCTGTTCCCTTCCATACGTTTTCAAAAACTTCAGAATTTCTTTCTACTTTTGCACGGGATGAGATGTCTTTTTTTTTTCTTTATCAGCAAAGGTGCACGGGATGAGATCGTTAAGATGCACATACATGTTATAAATTTGTGTTAAACCTCAGTAAAGTCACCATTTCTATATCTCGGACTCGGTTTCATTGAGAAATTTCCAACCAATAAAACCAAGTCAGCATGGCAATTTTCTAGATACATACTACTCGCTAGTCTTGTAGACTCCTAACAAGAAGAAAGAACAAAAGGATATCAATGATGATAGCATGGAAATCAGAACCGTAATGTGGAGCTGCAAAAGAATAATATGCCACCAAGCACGGAAATTTTATTCTACAAAAATGCATAGTTTCCCGATCAGCAAAGTATGTCCCTGAGCCACAAAAGGAACATTCAATAGAATACTCAGATTTCTGCTTCCTCGTGACACGCTCACAACTCTTTCTTCTTTTTTCTCTTTTTTCTTGTGATTTGCATTACAACTCAAATTTTGTCACTGTATGGAATCCATGTTGGTTACTGGAACATGAAGAAAAGCTTCAAAGTTCAAAACTCAAATACTGAGGCCTGGAAACCTAAGGAGAGCTTAATAAGGAAGAAAATTCAGCTGATTATCATCTGGTTAAGAAAGGCTGCTTGCTCTGGAAAATACTCCAATAATTCATCTTTGGTTACCCAGACATAATCCTCACACTTCCCAATCTTGAATTTGTTGGTAGCAATAACTTGTGATTTGAAGAAGAACCGCTGATACAAGGAACAGATCACACATAAAACAGAACAAAATTAACAAGGGTATACTCAGGTATTCTGGGAAAAAGAATGGTCAGAAATATAAACACATCCTTTAAAAGAACAAGTAGTAGTCTTTCTTATACTTCTCAACGGAATTCAAAATTCAGCTTGGCTCAGTTCATGTGCTGCTTTGGTTTCAAATTTCCCTATTTGTCCCCCACTTCCCACAAAGGAGATTTTCACTAATGCTCAAGAGAGACTTTGGTATCAACCATTTATCTCTTCTATAAAACATCATTTATCTTCTTCATAGACATTAACCCTAATGAACGTAGATAATTTTGAAATGATGAACCTTGTCTCACCTCTATCATCGTCAATCATCAAACTACAAGTAATCAATATAGTGTCTTGCCAAATTGGCTTCTTTGGTGTGTGACAGAATCCTTTTACAGTAGTAACCTTGTGTTTATCCAATAAAGACTACTACTTTAAGCTAACCAAATATTCAGACGGGTTTAAAATGAAAGAATTGGCATACACTTCAAGTTTGTAACCCCCCTAGCATGGTTTAAAATGTCCCTAATTTCCCTAAGACTTCCATGACATATTTCCATTTCCATAGGTAGCAACACGAAATTTTACTATAATTGACATATTCCCCAATGAACACTACCAACACTATCTGGAGTACAACAGATAGTTTCCACGGCATATTTCCATTTCCACTTCCATGGGTAGCAACATGAAATTTTACTGGAATCGACATGTTCCCAGTGAACACTACCAGCACTATGTAGAGTACAAAAGATAGTAATATAAGATAAGTTAGTGACTATTGTAGATATGTGGAGTAACATTGTTATTGCCCACCTAACTTACATGATTACCACTTTGAGCTAGCTCAATATTCATTTCAAACATGAAGTTTAATACTAGTTTTTATTTGTGTAATAGATTATTTGATCGATCTATTACAACCATTTACATTTTCTATGAGTTTAAATTTTGCTTGAATTCATTCTATCATGAAGGTTTACAGGGCAACTTCAGAACGTATTCTTTGGTCTGTAACCTTAGCTTCTTAGCTTTGTTTAGTGATTTGGGACAAGATAATAATTTTAAAAGGTGTACCTATGCTTCTTTTATCATTTCATGGAATATCATTCCATATTTTGCATATATCACAATGTTTCCACCATGCCTGTAATTTTTACAATATTTTCATATGATATTTCCAACATTTCTGACATGTTTCTTATACTTGGACAATCAACATTTTGTTGGGACCCAAACACTCCCTCCGAACCCAACTATAGGAATGGAGCAGGCCACCACCGAACAGCATTTCACTAGAAGACAGAGAGGCTAGCGTGACACGCGGCTGAGCCTCCCAGAGTTAGTTACACTGCCACCAAAAGATATTCTCTCTATGATTGCATACATGTAAGCCAGCTATATAAGGCCCTGATCATGTAATAAGTGGCGTGAATGAATATCCCTTTCATCTCTCTCTTTGAGTCATCTTCTTCCTACCTTTCCCCTTTCCCTCCCATCTTCTGTATCAAGAGGTTAAACCACCCTCGAAGGGGCTTCCGAGGTGAGCGGTAACTCATCAGATTGGTATCAGAGCCAGGCTATCCAAATCCCAGGCTTCACGATGCCACAGACACGTTCCACTACCGTGGATGAAAGGGTCGACCAGCTTGAGGATGGATTCCACCAGGTGTTGAACAAACTCAAGGAACTCAAAGTGCTCGTCTCCAGCTTCGTCTCTCAGCAAAAGTCCGGTGAGACCAGTCACCTATTAGGAGCAGAAGCCTCTGCTTCCAATAGCCAAAGAACAGGGTATTACCCCACTGGAAAAGGCACTAAGATCAACTTTCCCAACTATTCCGGTGGAAATCCCATTCCTTGGATCTTCCGAGCAGAAAGATATTTCAAATACCATGAAACTCCCGCACACCAGCGTGTCTCCATCGCCTCCATTCATCTAGAAGGAGACGCAATTCTATGGCTCTAGTGGTATCGCCAGAATCACCAAGTAACTTGGGCGGAGTTCACCAAAGCTTTGTGCATCCGCTTTGGGCCGACGGCGTTCGTGGACTACGACGAGCTGATCACCCGGTTGAAGTAGACTAGAACGGTAGAAGAGTACCAACTCGAGTTCAAGCGGATGGCGACCAGGGTACACGGTTGGCCGGAGAAAGCCTTAGTAGGATGTTTTGTGGGAGGTCTCAGAGAGGATATCCGTCTGGAGGTGAGGGCTCTCCATCCGGCGACTGTCATGGCTGCGATGGGATTGGATCGCCTACAAGAAGAAAGAATCGACAACCTTCATAGAGCTAGAAAACTGACCTACCCGAATTTGAGGACTCTGCCACGGGCCGATCAGCAGCCCATGAAACCGGTTGGGGATCATCAGAAGCCCATATTGCCCCGGCCCACTATGCCCTTCAAACGTCTCTCATGGGCTAAGATGCAAGCCGACGCAAGAAAGGCCTTTGTTATAACTGTGATGATAAGTTTGGACCGGGCCATAAATGCCGGGTCCAACAGGTGTTTCTCCTACAGACAAAGGAAGAGCCGGAAAAGATAGACCCAGAGCACTTAAATGACTGTGAACTGATTCCAGATGGACCAGAACCTAACAGGGCCGAGATCTCCTTACATGCCCTCATGGGCCTCAACTCTCTTCAGTCCATGTGCGTAGAAGGAAGATTGGTGGGCCGGACCGTGATGATTTTGATTGACAGTGGCTCTACCCTGAATTTCATCACTTGCCATTTGGCTAAGCAGCTAGGTATGACCATACAACCCACTCCTCTCTTTTCAATCCATGTGGCTAACGGGAGTCAAATGTCGTGTAATGGTGTATGTAAGAAGGAAAAAATCCTCATACAGGGCCATAATTTTGTGGTTGATCTCCACCCATTGGATTTCTCGGGGGCTGATATTATTTTGGGGATTCATTGGTTGCGTGACCTGGGCCTTGCTCTATCTGATTGGGCCAAAATGACAATGGATTTTCACCAGGATGGCCAATCTTGTCATTTACAAGGGGTGCAGCCCCCTAGTCCACAAAGTGACACTTTAGCCTCCATGATACGGGCCTCCAAGTTTGCTGGCCAACCCATATTTATGCACTTAGGCATTTGGCCCACAGTCCCAATTCTGGACAACCAAGGCTGTGTTCACCCCACAGAAGCCCAACACAAGACCTTACGATCGATACTCGATCAGTTTGGCGATGTATTCAAGGAGCCGAACCAATTACCTCCACCCTAGGCTCGTGATCATCAGATACCTCTCTACCTGGTTCTAATCCGGCCAATGTGAGGCCATATAGATACCCTTACTTTCAGAAGCTGGAAATTGAGAAGGCAGTGAGAGAGAACTATTGGAAAAAGGGCATATACAGACCAGCACCAGCCCTTTTTCATCTCCTGTACTCTTAATGAAGAAGAAGGATGGTAGTTGGCGCTTTTACGTAGATTACCGGACCTTGAATCAGATTACTGTGAAGGACAAGTTTCCTATACCCCTCATTGACGAACTACTGGATGAGTTAGGAGAGGCATGAGTGTTCTCCAAATTAGACCTGCGGTCCGGGTATCATCAGATTCGGGTCCACCAGGCTGACATCCACAAGACGGCCTTTAGGACCCACGATGGCCATTATGAGTTTTTGGTTATGCCTTTTGGACTCACCAACACCCCCTCCACCTTTCAGGCCCTCATGAATGACACCTTTAGGCCATTTCTAAGGCGATTTATTCTAGTGTTTTTCGATGATATTCTGGTGTACAGCAGGGATTGGGACACACATATGGAACATCTGAAACTCACTCACAACTCTAAAGGGGCACCAGTTACATGCCAAAATGACAAAGTGTTCCTTTGGACAAGGACAAATTCAGTACTCAGGCCATGTGGTTGCAGCAGGTCGGGTCATGGCAGACCCAGAAAAGATAGACGCCATCTAGAAGTGGCCCAAGCCCACTACTGTAAAGGCTCTGCGGGGCTTTCTTGGGCTTACCGGATATTATAGGCGCTTCATTAAGGGGTATGCGCTTATGCCCGCCCCTCTAACGCGTCTATTAAAGAAGGATTCCTTCAGTTGGACTGATAAAGCCCAACGGACTTTTGAAGACTTGAATACAGCGGTTTCTAGCCCTCCAGTCCTCACTCTTCCAGACTTCTCTCAGCCCTTTGAAATAGAATGTGATGCGTTAGGTGTAGGAGTAGGGGTCGTCTTGATGCAAAAAGGGCAGCCCATTGCTTATTTCAGCAAGGTTCTCTCAGCAGCTCACCCAAGTCGGTCCACTTATGTCAAAGAAATGATGGTTGTGGTAATGGCAGTGCAAAAGTGGTGTGCATACCTATTGGGACGCCAATTTGTTATTAGGACAAACCAACGAAGTTTGAAATACATAGCAGAGTAAAGGGTGCACACCTCGGAGCAGCAAAGATGGCTTAGTAAACTAATGGGCTTTGACTACCTCATAGAATATAAATCGGGGCCCACAAACAGAGTAGCTAATGCCTTGTCATGAGTAGAAGAGTTAGCCCATCTGACCTGCTCTCAGCCCAGCTTCCCTTTGTTTGAAGCTATACGGCAAGAAGCTAGGTCTGATCCGTAGTTGCAAGTCATTAGAGATAAGCGGAGGCGAAACCCTTCACAAGTTGTTGGTTACCAAGTTGTGGGGCTTGATCTTTTCTTTAGGGGTCGGTTTGTTGTTGCCCAGAATTCGGCCCACAAAGCTGAACTGCTAGGGTTGTTTCATGACTCCGCCTTGGGAGGGCACTCAGGGGTGCTATGGACCCTAAAGAGGCTCAGCAGCCACTATCATTGGGTAGGAATATGTATCCGAATGCCAAACCTGCCAATAGTAGAAATACTMGTCACAGTCTCCCGTTGGCCTTCTACAACCTCTCAAGATTCCAGATCAAGTGTGGGAAGACCTTTCCAAGGACTTCATCACGGGTCTTCCTCGTTCTGCAAGAAAGGA